CCTTGAGGTAAGCGGCAGCAGCTGCCATGTATGAGCCCCCCCCTCCTCCCCATCCCTCACCATAGCTGCAGAGCTGGCCACGGAGCTGTGCTCTGGCCACATGACAGCCTCCCTCTCCCCCTTCCCTGGGTAGGCAGCCGGATGGCATGTGTGCAGCCCGCACATGGCGAGCACTACCACACTGTGCCCCACATCACTTGCCTGCAAAGTGCCCCCACAGAGGGACACCCTTGCCCTCACCCCTTGGCCCTGCTCCCAGCTGCAGTGTGCTGGCTGGGGCTGGCAGCACCCCCACTCCCTCAGCCCCCAACCATCTTCCCCAGCTCTGCCCCACAGCCCCCAAGCCCCACTTACCTCTATGCTCCACCCCCTGCCCCCATGTGGTGGGCACCACCACACCACATCCCACGTTGCTTGCCTGCAAAGCCCCCCCTGTTTCCCCACAGCTGGCATGCAGCTGCCACCACCCCGCACTGCTGTGGAGCCATGCAGCCATTTATGGGGCATGCTGCTGCATCCAAGCCTCCTGTTTCACCCCCCAGCTGGGTGGCACGTATGTGGCCTGCACATGGTGGCTTCCACCGCACTGCCACTGCCACGACCTGCGCCACTTGCCCACAAAGCCGTGCAGGTGGCTGTGGGACGGTAGCGCAGAGTGCAGTGGCAGAGTTGCAGTGGCGGCCTCCGTGTGCAAACCTCCTGTCAGGCCGGCTGGTGTGTGTGGCCCACAGAGTGGCACCCCTGTTCTCACCCCCTGGCCCTGCTCCTGGGAGTGGGCACAGAGGCACACTCCCCCCCACTTCTTGATCTACACCCCCAGCACCTTCCATTTTCCCCGCCCTGCCCTGCCCCTTCACCTCACACACACTAACCTGCTGGGGTGGGTGTCAGTGTCTGTGTCTGCATGTCTGTGTCTGTGGGTCTGGGGGACTGTTGCAAGGGGCATCAGGAGTGCTGTTGAGACTGGGTGAGGGAGTGCGGGGCACCAGCAGTGCTGGGGGGGGGGAGGGGGCGCTTTAATTTTTATCACGGATTTTGGGTTTTTAATTAGAGAATTTGCAATTTTTAATCAGAGAAAACCAGGATCCCTGGTTATGAGACTATCACAGCTTCCTAGATGTTATTGTTCTGCTTTAGAAATATTTCTCCAAAGAGGCACTGGTGCTGTGCTGTTTATTTTTAATGTCCAGCTGCTATGACATTGATTGAATGTAGACTGGTAGTTGGATAGCCCTTTCCGCTTATGTCACTGGTTCAAATTGGTTGTGACCAAAACTGTTTGATGCCTGTTTAGAAATCTAGATGAGCCATACCGAAGAATGTGAAGTAGTTAACTGTGTTAATCTGAAGTTGGACAGAAGGCAGGGTAGAGATGCATCTGACAGACTATTGATTCTCAACCAGGGTGCCAGGACTCAGGTGCCTATCCCTCCCTGGCTGATCCCTCCTCTCCAATGATTGGGCTCTCTGCAAGGAGATAAGTACTGTAATATATAAATTAGTTTTTGAAATTGCATTCCGTTCAATTCACAAAAGTTACTGAGGTGTGCCTCCAATCAATGAGGGGTGCCTCTAGTCCAAAAAATTTTGAGAACCACTGCGATTGACTGAATCAGAGTTGTATAAGCAGTATTTCTGTACTATTCATCAATGTTAGTGGGGAAGAAAACGAAGAAGAGTAAGCACATCTCCAGCATCTGTCATTTTAGTGGTAGTGTTTAGTGGCCTGTATGAAGTAAATTGGAGATATCTGCTTATACCACAGGAATCCCCAGTGATTCATGCTTTAGTGGTGAGAGAGAGTGGCACCAAAATTGAATGGACATGGATATTGAACAAGCATGTAAATTTCTTCAGTGCAAAGTATTGTTTTGATTGTCATTCTTCATACCTAGTTGCTTCATGTGAATAGGGAGTTTTGTTTGCAAAACAACCTGACCTACAGAATAATGACACATTTTTTTCCTAAAATTTTAGAAGATGACAACATTCCTAAAACATACAGGAGCACTCTTGTACAACTAGGACTCAACAGTATGAAATCTGCCAATATATGCATAGGTCGACCAGTCTTGCTTACCAGTGAAGATGGAAAACAAGAGGTGTGATTACTTTTCTTATTTAGCATGAATAAGACAATCTTATATGATTAAATGATGTATTTTAGTTGTTGGGTTTAGGTTGCAAGGGTGGGAGGGTTTAGTGATTTAAATCCAGTGGATTTAGGTCTCCATGCAATTCAATGCCATTGCTCATTTCCCATGAGGGTTGAAAAAGGAGAAGAATTGTGTATCTGGGTGCTTTTGCACACCACCCAATTGCTGCATGCCTGGATTTATCCAGTGCCATTAATTGATTAAAAATACTAAACATTATTTCCTCCTATTTAGTTTTTAACAGAAGAAATGAGTCCCCACTTTTTATAGCGTACTCCCTAGATAGCATAATGTATGCTTTTTCAATTGTCTACTTATTCTTCAATTTCAACTTAGATTACCAGTGGAGTTTTCCTTGGCATTGTCGAAATGAAATTCTCCTGTTAAAAACATTTTGGTTCATTCTTAAGTCGTAGTACTACTGTACGTAGTTTCTTGATTCCAAGGCAAAATTTTCCCCCTCATTTAACATGAGGAGGGGGGAGGTCCCTTGTCTTGGAATTGAGTATGGGGTGGGGGGCAGGTCAGGATTGGAGTCACAGCTGCTGCCTGCTTCACCACTGCCCTTGAAGCCTCAGTTCATGGTCTCCCTCTCTGCACCCCTCTCTTCTTTCCCTCTAGTGCCAGCACTGCCCAAGCTTTGCTCAGATGCCATCATGCTGGCCCTGTACTGCTGATATGGGGATAGACTGGTGTTGTGCCACAGGCTGCATCAGGGACAGAACCTGCCAGCACCAAAGCAAGGGTAGGGGGTTGGAGGGGGGTGGTTGTGGAGAGGAGGGGCAGAGGCTCTAGGGAAGGGAAGAACTGGGGAGTGGGGGCAGGCAGGGGCCTGTGGCTGGTTGGGGGGGCAAAAAGTGGTAGGGAGCAGATTAGATGAGACAAGCTGCCTGCCCCCTGTGTCCCTACTGATTCCCTATTGCCTGTCCTCCACTCCTGCCTGATCCCCACTGCTTGCCCCCCTACCACTGCTTTCTCTGCTGCCGTGGTGGTGGGAACAAATTTCAGATGACCCTCCAATAATTAGATTTTATACTTGGAAAATTATAACAAATGTATACATTTTCCATATATAGAATTTAATTACTTGTGGGGGGGGGTAGTCATCTTGGATTTGGGTAAATAGGGTAACTGCTTAGCATCTTAACTGTTTGTGATTCATTATATTTTGATCCATTCTTTAATCCCTTGTGGAGTTTGAGTTTAAAAGTTCACCTTCAGAATTAAGAATTGGAGGGAGGGGGAAAGCTCTTAAATTACCAATTGTTTGTTTGTTTGATTGATTGAAACTTTCTCTAGGTCTGTACTGCTTGGCCCATTGCAGGCTTCTCAGGAGGAAAAATTGGCTTGAGTGGAATCACTCAGAAGAATTTGGTCGTGAAACCTGGTGATGTAGTCACTGTCCAGCCTGTGGTCGGTGCAGTGGTACAGGCAGAAGAAATCTACGTTAAGCTGAGGTTTGGAATTTTTCTGTGAATGCTAGCTACTGGTAGCCATAGAAATCTGTTTTGTAGAGATCCAAATCTGCTAGATGCACCTTTACTTTCCATTTGAATGGGACTGCAAGTGTGAATGAAGTTAAACACATTGGTAAATGTTCACAGGATTGTTGGTTGTAGCCATGTTGGTCTAAGGACATAGGCCTTAGATCAGGTCTTAGACACCACCAGGTTCTTTGGGTAGATGTGATATCTTTTATTAGATTAACTAAATAGTTGGAAAAATATTCTTTGCAAGCTTTTGGGCACAAACACCCTTCGTCAGGGATCAGGAGACTGCTGGTGTTCTGTGTCTTCTGAGGTAGAAAAGAAGCTAATTTACAACATTCAGATCTGTGAAAATACAGATGAGTGGACGTTTAGAAGACAATGGGTAGAAATAGGAGGGGAAGGAGTGAAGGGAGGGAAACATGTGAAGGAATACAAGTGGTCAGCTGGAGGCAGGGTATCTGAGGCATCAGGCAGATTGTAATTTGTCATAAATCCAATGTCTATATTAAGTCCATGGTTTTTTGTATCCAGTAGATTTATGAAGTACAGTTCATAGGCTTGTCTATGAAAGGTGTTTTGTAAGTTCCCTTTGAGGATTAGACCCGAGAGATGAGAGGAGGGAGTGATTGCCTTGTAAGAAATGTGTACCCACTGGTAATTGGATATTTTTGTCTTTGATGGATTTTCGCTGTGTATTAATTCTGGTACGTAGTGAATCCCAGCGAAATGCACACCATTAGTTATGACCAGGGATCCTGGTTTTTTCTGATTAAAAATTGCAAATTCTCTGATTAAAAACCCCAAATCTGTGATAAAAATTAAAGGGCCTGCCCCCAGCCCCCCCACCAGCAGTGCTAGTGCACTGCACTTCCTCCCCCCTCTCCACCCCCCCAGTCTCAGTAGCCCTCCTGATGCCTCTTGCAACAGCCCCCCAGACCAGACATGCAGACACAGACACTGACAACCACCCCAGCAGGTAAGTGTGTGTGGGGGGAAAGGGAAGGTGCTGGGGGGTAGATCAAGAACGGGGGGAGTGTGCCCACTCCCAGGAGAAGGGCTGGGGGGTGAGGGCAGGGGTGCCACTCTGTGGGCCACACATGTCAGCCGGCCTGACAGGAGGTTCGTACATGGAGGCTGCCACTGTGCGCTGCCATCCCACAGCCACCCTAATGGCTTTGTGGGCAAGTGGTGCAGGGCATAGCAGCAGCAGTGCGATGGCAACCACCATGTGCGGGCCACGTA